GGAAGATGGACATCTGAGGACAGCCCTTAAGGCCCGTGGATATCCAAAATGGGCCTTTAACAAGGCAATGTCTTTACCCAGCAGGACATTGGAACAGTCTGAGACCCAGAGCCAACCGAAGAACCTGGTCATTACTTACATAGCGGGTGTGTCTGAAAAGCTCAAAAGGATTTTTTTTGATAAACATTGCATACCCGTGCACTTCAAACCCACAAACACACTAAGGCAGAGACTCATACACCAAAAAGACCGGATACCGAAACTCAACAGGAACAATATATATATCCTGACTCTGTTGAGTTTTGGCGTCCAGTCTTTTTGGTGGACGAGTCTCTGCCTTAGTGTATATATAAGTCTCTGGCTTAGTATATATATGCAGTCCAATGCAAAGAGGAGTGTTCCGAGTTCTACATTGGAGAATCCAAGCAGCCACTAAACAGGACAAGAGGGGCACTGCACAAGAGGGGCTATGGCTCAAGACTACAATCAGCAGTGTTTCTTCATTTGAAGTACAAAGGACAATCATTTGATGACCAAGATGTACTCATTTTGGATCGAGAAGATAGGTGGTTTGAGAGAGGGAATCCCTCACTCAGCAGGGGTGGAGGCCTTAGATATAATCTATCTCCTATTCATCATGCTGCTCTTTCATCCATCCCCAGAAGGATTAGAACCACACCCAACAGAAAGACCACTGTTAATGACGCAAGACAATGGGTGGGGAAGGGCTGCAGAAGTGGGATTATCCCTCAACCCTAGTCCTTTGTCCTTCTAAGGAGCCTATTCATATCAGGGGGAAGTGAAACCAACATGGAGGATATATCAGGGATCTCCTACCAGCTCTCCTCAGACTGAAGAAGCTACTTGAATGAGTAGCGAAACGTTTCAACCTAACTAGAAAGATGTCCAGTTGCCATGACTCAACTTCCAGAAAAACTAACCAGTGCTTTATAGTTAGAATTAGCCTCCTTTAGTATCAGTAATGAGCACTAGTTAGCGGGCTAATTACTACATTCTTGCAGCAATGTACTTTCTAGTTACTCTACAGAGATACCACTTCTGGGATGTATTACAGCAGCCTTCTTCAGCCTAGTGCCCTCCTGACGTGTGAGTGAACCTTGATTCTGGGTCAGAGCGCCCACATCATATTTGATGTTTGTTGTAATCTGGACACCTAATGGAGACAACAATTCTGAACCTATTGAATCTTATGTCTGATCATAATAGGGTGAGTTTAGTTCATGGCTGATAAGTATTATGAGGTGCTTGCTACCACTGTTTGTTCTAAATGTTTTAGCAAGGAGGTGGGGACTCTGTGGCCGTTGAGATAGGTATGATCTCCATCTCCCATCAGACCCAACAGCATGACCAGTGATGAGAGATTATGGGAATTTCAGCACAATAACGTGGGGGGAGAGAAATTTTCCAGTACAAATTTAGCACAAATGTTATACAGTATCTACATTTCATATTGTTGCACAGAATGTGTTTTATCACTGTGTTTTGTCATTGCCCAAATACAAGTACAAAACTATGTATTTATTTTAAAAATAGACCTGTTTGCAAATTCAGCTCATTAATAAAAGTGCATGAGTTTCTGTTGTTACAGGTTTAGTAAAATAATTGCTGTAAAAGTGTGCATAGGTGTGTTGCTGCTAGAGAATCCCTTGGTTTCTGTGTTGCAGCTTCTTTCTGCTGAATGATCTGATATTACCATATTAATTCTAATATTAAATCAATTATTCAATTAGAATGGTAAATTAGAAACAATAATGCTACTATTCTAGTGACAAAGGGCATCGATTTATTTAAATCTTTATCTCTGAGTAATAATTATTTTGTCCCAATCTGCTGAAAAGTGTAAAAAGCAAGTAATTATTTTCATGAAGTCCTCTCATTAACAACTTTTATAATGAATGAAACTGTTGAGAATGTTCACATAGTGCAATTAAATACAATTGCTTTTGCATAAAACTAAGATTGTTTAGGGAAAAGTATCACACTGGAATAGAATTGTAAACTCTGGTCAAAATGTTCACTTTGCTTTTTGCTTTCCTACTTTTTCTGCTGCTTCCTCTGAAGTCTCCTTCCAAATGGTTTTGGAAACTGGTTCCTGTAAGTTGACCCAACGGCTTCACTTCAATGTAGTGCCTTAATGTTTGTGAATGACTCTGTCTTATGTCATGCTGGTTAAGTCATTCATTTCATTTGTGCTTTTCCCCCATTCAATATTTTTTCTGAAAATTGTTCTCCAGAGAGTCAGCAGAGTTAGTTTGCAGTAATCTGGGAACTTTGTAGTTAGCATTATGACTGAGTTCTGAATATTTTTTAATATTGTGCAACTTATATGTATACATAGGTGTGTATATTGAATAATAATTGCAGCATAGAATTTATTTAAAGGGTTGAGAGGGGTTACCCAGAGTATGCTGTCCTGTTTGTAATTCTGGGATAAGGATCACAATTGCCCCCAAGACTGTTTTTCTGGGTGCCTTGGTTCCCTCAATTGAAAAATGTTTTCAGAGAAAAAGGCAACCTCTTCTAGTATATTTTTCCTTTATTTATTTTTTTATAATGGCAAACAGTTTAGAGGAACCATGCACCCCATTAAAAGGCCTTGTAGAATGGTTGTTGTGGGTTTTTCGGGCTGTTTGGCAATGTTCCGGAGGGTTTTTTTCCCTAAAGTTTCACCAGTCTCAGTCTTCTAAACCATCTAAGTAACATCCACCCAAATATACAATTCACCATGGAAAAAGAAATAGAGGGCCAATTCTCTTTCTTAGATGTCATGGTCATACACAAACCTGACCTCCTATTGGGACACAGAGTCTATAGAAAACCCACCCACACAGACCGGTACTAGTCAAAAACTCCAATCACCACCCACGACAAAAAAAAAGAGAGGCATAATCAAAACACTGGTAGAGTGTGCGAATCGGAACTTTGAAGCTCAGTTTCTCAGCGCCAAACTCAACCACCTGAATTGGGCCCTACAGGCAAATTCTATTCCAAGAATTAAATCAAAAGAGCTATCAAACCAAGAAAATAACACTGAAATGAAGAAGAAAAACAGCACCCTACAAATAAAGTATTTTTGCCATACATCAAAGGAGTCATGGACCGCATGGGGAAACTGTTGGAAAAAAACAACCTGCAAATAGTATTGAGGCCCACCACAAAAATACAACAAATGTTACGGTCAGCAAAGGATAAAAGGGTATATACTCGCCACTGCAGGAGTATACCGGATACCTTGCAGTTGTGGCCAGATATATATTGGGACCACAAAATGCAGCATCCAGACCAGAATCAAAGAACATGAAATACATTGCAGATTAAAACAGCCAGAAAAATCGGCAGTAGCTGAACATGCGCTGAGACAAGCTGGACATGAAATCCTGTTTGAAAACACAGAAGCAATCTGTGTTTTGAAACAGGATTTCATGTCCAGCTTGTTTCAGGGCAGCACAGAGAAGCCATTGAAATCCACAAACACCAGCACAGCTTCAACAAAAAAGAAGAAAGTCTAAAAATCAACAAAGCCTGGCTCCCAGCACTTAAAAATACAGTCTGCGAAAAGGTCAATGAACTCTCCCCAGCCACAAAGACTGGTGATCACTGCACACAAAAAACTAGCCAATGACACCCATCAATCACAGTGACAGATCATTTCCCCCCTTCTCACAACAAAACATCCATAACAAAAAACACCTTGAGCACAGGAAACACCCAATCTCCTGAAAAGAACCTTATCCCACAGCTACAAATACTCAACAATCCCACACACGACAGCAGAATACAGACAGAGTTCTAGCTCCTGTCCTCTGTAGATGCCAGCCACAGACACTGGGAAAATGTCAAGAAGAAAAACCTCCAAAACACAGCCAAACAGCCCGAAAAACACGCAGCAACCATCAGATCCCGGCTGGGAAAGTCTTTGAAAATGAAATGGCCTTGTAGAACTTACTGTTTTCTAGACTTTATTGCCTTTGGGTTTTGTTTGGTTCATTGAAGGCATCTCTAACTACTTTATTGTGCTCTTAAACAAATTTTACAGCAATTAACATACAGGCGTACCTCGGTCTACTACGCCTCGGTTTACGTAATTTTCGGTTTACAAAAAAATGCCTGGGTTTACTTTTTTTACGTGGGGGATGTTTCGCTGTACGAAAAGGATGCATCGCGCCTGGAGGTTTCTAATGCCACCCTCATTGCTATGGCAGTCCACGTTCCAGTTTATGTAATTTCCGTATTTCATAACATCCCAGATGACAGATTAATTTCGTAAACCGAGGTACTACTGTACTTTGTTTCATGCCTTATTAGGTTTTTACCTTTATGCTGTTCTGTGAATGAGGGTGATGTTTAAAATCATACATGTGGAATGGATATTCCTGGCATATGAAGAGTACTGACCTCATAATTTGTGTACAATGAGTTGTGAATTATGTATGTTCTTATGTTACATAATCTATATGAATGATTTTGTTCAGCCTTTCATCCAGAGATTATTTCTGCTGATTCTCTGTTACAAAATGGGTACACAGATGGAAGTGAAAAGAAAAAATTAATTTAGTGGCACCTGGGGATAAACATTGCCTTGAGGCCTAGCACTATTATGTTGGCTTGTGATTTATTCATTAATAAGACAGTACTTATTTGATGTATTCTTATAAAGCAAAGATAAACACATTTGCTTAGTATGACAGCTATTTGCCCCTCCTAGATTCTGGCATGGGCTGCACCCCAGAGAAGGGTAACTCTAGACTAGGCTACTGTAACCTATATAAATCTCAGCCATGCTAAAATAAAGCAGTCAAAAAAGTCTAGCTGCAAGGTTTTTGTCAAGGGTGGCTACATTAGTCTTATAAGGTGAAAAAGAACGCATTGGGGCCAGGGAAAAAATCACCAAAAAAAATGCAAGCCCCATTGGAACACATTGGGGCCAACAAAAAAATTACCAAAACCCAAAAAAACAATGCAAGCCCCATCGGAACACATTGGAGCCGGAAATAAAATCACCAAAAAACCCCAAAATAACGCAAACCCCATTGGAATGCGTTGGGACTGGAAAAAGAAAACACCAAACCCCAAAAAACAATACAAGCCCCATCGGAATGCACTGGGGCCGAAAAACAAACTCACCAAAAAACAAAACAAAAAAAATGCAAGCCCCATCAGAACATGCTGGGGCCGGATAAAAAACAACACCAAACAGACCAAAAATCGCCACAGCACAGAAACGTAAACCTCTGAGCCCAAACCCATCTGCAAAACCTTGTAAATGTACTTACTCAGCAGCAGAAAGCAGCACCAGGCAGTCCCCTCGGACACACACACTCTAACCGTTGGGGCAAAAGAGCTACAGAGAAGCAGCCTCTTCGCCGACCAACGGTTAGTACATTTGAATTCCCTGCCTTTCCCCCCATCTTTTTTCCTGTCGTAACTCGAAGCTCCAGTCGCAAGTCAAAGCAAAATTTTGCGGACAGAGCTGGTCATCACTCGAAATGGTCATAAGTCGGGACGGTCGTAAGTCGAGGCACCACTGTACTTTATCACACATCTTCTTTAGTGAAAATTTACCCAAAGAAGTCAGAGAGCTGGTTTTCAACTATTTAGTAAAGGTATATATATCAGCATTGTGCTGTCAGTGGGCAGGTTTGGACATCCCTATGACCCATGGGTTTTCTTGTTGGGAATGAGCTAGAGTAAATCTTGGATGCATGAACATCTTCTGCCATCTTTTCTGATGGGATCAAAGGAGGAGGTTGAAAGCCTCTGCATTTGTTTTAAATTAAACACAGTATAGCATGCTGTTCAAATCTTAAATTGTGGTTCGTTTTAGCTGTTGAAATCAGCTTCCTAAACTGTGGTCTAAAACTGACTTGTTTAAATTCTCGAAGGTTAAGATGAACTGGACTTTGCAGATGTTTGAACAAAATGACGTGTTGTGTTTTGTCAAAAGCAGAAGGTAAACGGGTCCCATTCAGGCTTTTTACCTGTAGAGGAAGCACAGACTGTAGACTGGTATCATTACAACTTTGTCTAAGGTTGAATCTGCAAACTCTTGTCTTGCCTTAATAACAGTCTGCATTTAGGAACAAGAGGCATCATGTGTGGTCCAATATTTGGTTTGGTTTGGTTTTGGTTTTGACTATCCATTTTCTCCCCTGTTCTCAAATCGTACACAACCTTTACCTAGTGAAGAATTCTAGAGAACTCAAAAGCTCACTTTGTTTGGTAACTTTTTAGCAATCCAATAAAGGATCATACCAGAACTTTTTTTTCCCTATGTATAAATCACATGGCTACTTTTTCCTACATGATTTAGCATAACATCTAAAACTCTTCAGTTCCCTTTTTTTGTATCTTTACTGGATTAAATGGTAATTCTCAATGCTGAGTAGTAAAAATGCAGGAGGTGATACCTTATTAGACCACTAAAGAAATTAAACATTCAGCAAGTCTACTTTTTTCAGGCCATGCACCAATATGTTGTGGACAGTGCAGAAAAAGGTGGTTTTCTGAGGTAGCTGTTGATTGGGTACCCCTCACTCCAGCTCCTTAAATAAAGAATCACCAGATAGTTTACGACATAGTTTGAAAGCCACACCTCCAATGTAGCCTGAATTTTTTTTTCTAATTCACCTCTAAAAGGCAAAACTGGCACGACCATCTGCCATGGATTTTGGAGGCCATAATTTATAATTTTTCTACAGTACCCACAACATATCTGTGTATGACCTGGAGAAGTGGTCTTGACCCAAGAAAGCTCACTGATTGGTTTGTTGTTGTTGTTGTTGTCTGGGGTTTTTTGGTCTGGGCTAAATAAAGGTATCACCTACTCCTGCATTTGTATTGTGTAAGGACCACATGGCTTTCTTTGTTTTTTTCAGAAGGGTTGAGCTGGAAACAGACAGCCATGCTTGACGTGAGAGAGGTTTTCAGATTACTTCTGGATATTTCTATTGTTGTGGAAACCTTCTGTGTTCATAGGGTTTTGCATGTGACAAGAAGCACTGCAGTACATTGGAGACATGGAGAGATCAAAATCAGCCTGCAGCAAATGGACAAAGTAATCCATCCATCATCCTCTATTTGCAGCAATATACTAAGGGCCTGGCCATTTTAAATGCAAAGTATGAAGATAAAGTGTATACAGTATTTGAATGCACTGCTCTTCAGTAAACCCGGAAAAATCTAAAACCACAGAAGGATTTTTAGTTATCAGGACAACAATCAAAAGTGTTGGAAACCTTACAGATTTTCCCTCCCTCATGTTTTCACATAAAAAGATATTAAAATGTGGAAGGAATTTCATGTTATCTATGTCTGGACTGGGAAAAATCTTCTGAAGGAGCAAGAGCAAGATTTCTAGAATTTATTTTCTTTCTTATTTTCACACCACCACCCCGTTTCTCCTTTAAAAGGACCCAAGGAGGCTTATATCCTTGAAATATTATATTTAAAGCTGAAACCAATGGTATACACAGTGGTTTACATCATTAAAAGAAACATTAAAGCTACACAGTGGTTTACATCATTAAAAGAAACAAAGCTGAAAACAATAAGCATGCAAATATTAAAAAGGAACAGATACCACTCTGAGAGATGGTAAACAGAAGTAGCACTAAAGACCCAGTCAGAGCTGCAGTGCATAACAATACAGTACATCTAAAAGTTACTCATGTAGTCAGGCATGTGGCCAGTCACTCGTGTAGGCAGTCACTGAAGGAAAGTTTGCCTGAAGAGAAAAGTCTTTGCCTGCTTTTGGAAGGACAGCAAAGATGGGGCCAGCCTGGCCTTCCGTGGGAGGGAGTTCCAGAGTCTGGGAGCAGCGATAGAAAACACCCTCTCCCGTGTCCTCATCAGATGCACCTGTGAAGTTGGAGGGACCAAGAGAAAGGCCATTCCTAATAATCTGAACACCCATGCCAGCTCATAATGGGAGATACAGTCTTTGAGATAGCTTGGACCCAGGCCATATTTAGGCCCTTACACGTTAAAACCAGCACTTTGAATTGTTCCCAGAAATGGATTGGCAGCCAGTGGAGCTGCTGTAACAGGAGGATCATGTGATCTCTGTAACCAGCCCAGTTAGCAATCTGGCTGCCGCGTTTTGGACCTACTGAATTTCCTGAGAGTTCCCATCGGCAGCCCCAAATAGAGTGATCTACAGTAATCCAGCCAGGCTGTCATTATAATGACTTCTTGATTTATTTTACTTTTGTTGTTGTTTTATTTTTCTAAAGAGACGAGGCTAAATCTAGTGCTCTGCTTACCTCAGGACTTTTCTTCCCCCATCCCTCCTTCCCGCAGTTCTCAGAAATGCCCCCAAACTGTCTCTAGAGGGTTTTCTAGCCCCTGAGCATACTTTTCAGGATTCCATAAAAGGGATTAATTAAGGAGTGAGCATTGCTTTCACCTGAATTCATTGTTGTTTCACCAAGGCAAGGTTCAGTTTTGGCTATTGTCTGTTATTCAACAAAACTGAAAACTGCAAATTATTTTGTGCACCCAGAATACAGAACGGGTTTATATCCCTGAAGTGTGGGCATGTATAGGTGATGCTAGTTGATTCCACATTTTACATGGTGGTGGGGATGAATATTATCCGTGCTCCTTTCAGAAAGCCTTGATGAAATTAGAACAGCTGGCAATCTTTTCTTCCATCTTTCCCATTGCTTGGTTCTGTGGAAATGTGGCATTGCTTTTCATTTTCTAGAGTACTGTGTGGATGTTGATTCTATAGTGACTGAAATATTTTGTCAGTGTGTGACTTATTAAAAACTGACTTTGATCTGAATGGAACTGGCATTGAATTCCTTTAAAACTGAAGAGTTTTTTATATTTTTAATACTAAATCTATATGATATAATAAAATCATGTCTGGTTTAGAAGAGGTCTTTTTTCATGAATGGATTAATGAATCTGCGGTAAAAATTCTGTTCTTGCAAATGTTTCTGGGTGTGCATCTATCCATTTTCCCCCTTTTACATCACAGGCTCGCTACAGGAAGGAACAAGCCTTGCTTAAGCAGTTGCCCTGCATTCCATTGGTTGAAAATCTGTTGAAGGATGGTACAGACGGCTGTACTTTAGCTGCCCTGATCCATTTTTACTGCCCAGATATAGTCAGATTGGAGGGTAAGGCTGATATTTATGATTTATGATAATACCTCTGTTTATTAGAAAATAGCTGGAACTTGGGGGAAATTATGGGTTTTTTGCACTACCGTTCCCAGAATCCCAGAACAAATGTTTCAAAGCTCTAAGAATGATATAGTTTTCATAGTTAATGTTCGTAGATTTTGGTAACCAACGTTAAGCCAGAATTCTCTGGCTCAGCATCAAAAGCTAGAATGTACCGTGTAATGGAGGAAGGCAGGGCAGAATAAAGGATGAGTGCTCAGCTGCAGTGTGTGCTAATTTCCTAAACTATGTTTTCTGGAATGTGAATAATCCCTTAAATCTGACCACAGTGATTGAACCAATGAGTAACATTTTAATGTGTCAAGATAATTTGACATTGACAGATGGGTTTAAATGATGTGGTCATTTTGATTGGACATCACAATAACCCATGACTTTAGGTTTGCATACTTCCTCTTCCTTTTTAGCAGACTTGAATCATTTGCTTCGGTTCTTGATTAATTTCATCTTGTCATTTCAACCAAACCTGACAACCCACCATTAATAGTTATTTGAAGCAAGACCACTTCAAACCATGGTTCATGAAACTGTCTTCTTCTTTTTCCTTTTTATACATTTAAATTCAGATGATCCACATTTCTGACACAAATTTCTATATGACAGTTAAGAAACAGAAACAAAAGCTTCTAATCACTTTATGGCCATAGGGTAAGGAGATGAGAAGGAGTCTCTTTTCAGTTTACTGTGATGATCAGTATCATCAGATACAAACACAACAGGCGTGGCTGTATTTGCCCATATGTAAGCAAGTCATTATTAATAAACTACTGTATAAATGAGCTTCATGCTCTTGTGCCCTATGAATTAAATTATTCCTTCACATAAGCACATTAACACACTAGGAGCGTGAAAGATGAGCAAATAAAAAAGTAAATAAATAAAGTGTCAAAATACAGGACTATGGTTAAGGGTACCTAAGGAAGCCAAATAGGTTTTTTTAGATGCTTATAAAAAGGAGGAGTGAAGTACCTACATGTGCAAGTATGTTTATCATTTACACAGTAGCTTAGTATACCTTTATTATTCTGATCACATATGAATGTTCTTAATGGACAAGTATCATCATCATAATTTTAGAACCTACAGAACTGGAAGGGACTCTATGGATTATCGAGTTCAGCCTCTGTTAAGGAGGTACAGTGGGGAATCGAACTCCCAACCTCTGGCTCCACAGCCAGATATCTAAACCATTAGCTATGTAAATTAGTTTAATGTTCAGAAATGCTAGCAAGCTTTTTTTTTTAATTGTGCAAGCATTTGTTAGAAATAGAGAAATGTTGATGTATTTGTTCATTTTTAAAATCTATATAATCTGGAATGGTCTTGCGCAAGAAAACAATTAGGCATAGCATCCTTCACAATTCATTTATTTATTGATTGATTGATTTGATTTGATTTGATTTGATTTGTACCCCACCTATCTGGTCTATACAACCACTCTAGGTGGATGAACTGTTGTTTTAAATTTGTTCAGAACAGCTGAAAGCAGGATGTTTCTTTCCTAATGAGCATACGGATCAAAATTCAGAAACTGTGCGCTCTTCATCCCATCCCTGCTGTCCAGTCCCTAACTCCTTAAAAAAACAAACCAATGTAGAATATAGTGTATGGGCTGGGTGGGTGTAGGGTTAGTTTCATCCAATACTTAGGCATTCTTTTTCATTTATTTATAGATATCTGTTTGAAGGAAACAATGTCATTGGCTGATAGCCTGTATAATCTGCAGCTGATACAGGAGTTTTGTCAGGAGTACTTGAACCGATGTTGCCATTTCACACTTGAAGATATGCTCTATGCTGCTTCTTCAATAAAGGTAATTTTGAAAAGTGACATGTGTTTGAATTATTCCGCACAGGGAGGAGTGTGTGCTGTGGTCATATATTCACATCTATATACATATTTTATTCTGTTTATGGTGTGAACGTATGTTACAAAAGGGGTAAGCTTTATTTAATTTTGGGGGGTTTACTTGGTTTGGAACTCTGCCTTGGATGTAACTCACCTTTATACTGTGTATATGTATACACACACATGAGTATACTTTATATTTTCTTGTGGGCTTGCCTGTTGCATAACCAATTGCCCTGACACAGCCAGCTTTGTTTTCCTGTTTTTATCAGTGTTCCCCACACTTCTGATACATGGGCTGAATTTGTTCTGAATTGAAACCAGATACCCTTCACTTTTGGAATGTAGGACGATCTTTTTAAAGCATGCTGCAAATTTTTGTGAATAAATAACTGGATTGAATTTAATATTTTGTACGCTGAAAATATTTTATATTTCATCACACATTCTAGGCCTCATTCAAAGACTTTGATATTTGTATCAGGTTCCTCTCCTTTTTTGCCTGGAAGTAAGTTCCATTCATATAGGGACGTGGTGGCGCAGGTTGAACCACAGAAGCCTCTGTGCTGCAAGGTCAGAAGACTAGCAGTCATAAGATCGAATCCACATGACGGAGTGTCATCGCTTGTCCCAGCTCCTGCCAACCTAGCAGTTCGAAAGCATGTAAAAATGCGAGTAGATAAATAGGTACCACCACGGTAGGAAGGTAATGGCGTTCCATGTCTAGTCATGCTGGCCACATGACCACGGAAACTGTCTAAGGACAAACGCTGGCTCTATGGCTTGGAAACGGGGATGAGCCCCGCGCCCTAGAGTCGGACACGACTGGACTAAATGTCAAGGGGAACCTTTACCTATGTTCCATTCAATTGAGTACAGCTTTTCATCTAATCTTTCTTAAATTTGGAGCCCCCAAAACATGCCTGTGGCCTAAATGGAAAAACTACTTATTATCCTGTTTTTGTTTTATTTAGGTTTTTTTGCAAAGCTCTAATTTTGAGTTAGTTTCTCACATCATGCTAGCATGTCTCCATGCCAGTGGCAGGGGGGGGGTCAGAGGGGCAGCCATTCCAGTGTGCAATCTTGTTAGGGCACAGCCACCACCCTTCCCCCCCCACATGCAGGGGGGGGGGGGCAGAGGGGCAGCCATTCCAGTGTGCAACCTTGTTAGGGCACAGCCACCACCCTTTCCCCCCCCCACTCTGTCTTGCCACTGGGCTGCTCCAGGCAGCTCTGTCTGTCTGTCCTCCCTCCTGCTACCACCTCCCTGCCTGCTGAGTTTGTCTGGCGAGCAGGGCAAGCCGGCCACCCCCAACCCAGCACAAGTACAGTACTGGACGATGAAGGGGAGTAGGCTGCGATGTTGAGGAGAGGAGACCATTAGCCTCTGTTGGACCAGGGCTGGTGGAGGGGGTACAGCTGCTACTACTCCTACTGGGCGGCCGGTGCCCTTTGGGCTGGGCTGGGCTGGGCCTGCTGGAGATCTGCTATGCCTCCTCCTGGCCTGCCTGCTTCCAGGCTGCTGGCAGCACTGAGCCCGGCCAGCAGTATTTTCCTGTTCAGCTAGTGGTGGGAGCACAGTGCAGCTATGCAGGCAGTGCAGGAAGTGGCAGTGGCAGCATACCTGTGGGAGTTGGAGGCTGAGCCCAGTGCAAGGTAGGCAAGGAGGAGGTGGGGCAAGATGGGGGAAGGAGAGATGATGATGGAGATGGAGGAGGATGGTGCCCTGGGGTTACTTGTGTAGGGAATGGAGGGAGGAGGAGGGGGATGCAAGTTCACAGGTTAGGGGGGGCACATTACTTCCCCTTGTTACTGGCAGACAGTGCTATGCCACTGCTCCATGGTAGCCATCAAAGTGCCTATAGATCAAGACAGGCATCTTGAAGAAAGCCCAGATACTCACAGGTGGGACTGGGGCCTAGATAGTATCTCCTCTTTATCAGTGGATTGAGCTGAGATGTCTGGCGCAACGCCTTGCCCAGGAATTTTAACACAGTTTCAACCCATGATGTCAGTTGAAGTTGACAGGGTCCTTGAGTGCTGCAGGGCCATTATTTTCTCACTCCAGTAAGGAGTCTGGCCGCCGCAGTCTTGCCTTCAAGGATACACTCACTTGGCTTATCCAGGAGAAAAAACAATTTGGCAGCTGATGATGTTAACAAATATTGTCCAGTCACCAATATCCTCTTTACTGGCAAGCTGATGGAGAGAGTGGTGGCTGACCAGCTTCAGGCTTTCCTGGAGGAGACATCTTCCCTTGATCCAGTCCAGTCCAGGTTCAGGCCGCATCATGGCATGGGGACAGCATTGGTCACCCTGCAAGATCATCTCTTGAGGGATGCTGATAGGGGTAAAATGTCCTTGCTGGTCCTCCTTGACCTTTCAGCGGTCTTTGATACCGTCAACCTGTATCCTCCTGGGGTTGGGGATGGGTCGTCAGGCTTTGACCTGGCTCCGATCCTTCCTGGAGGACCATCCTCAGAGAGTTCCGCTTGGGGAGATGTTGTCCACTCAACAATGGAGTCCCGCAGGGGTCAGTCATCTCCCCAATGTTGTTTAACATCTGTATGAGGCAGCTGGGGGAGATAATTGGGAGTTTTGGAGCTTCGTGTCACCAATATGCAGATGACATTCAGCTCTATCTCTCCTTCCATCCTTCTGCAGTGGATGCTGTCCCGTCCCTTCAGCGCTGCCTGGATGAGGTGCTGGGATGGATGAAGAATAATAGACAGGCTGAACCCAGACCAGACGGAGATTCTATGGATGGGGGCCCCTTGTGTCTGTTGTCTGGGTGCCTCCCTATTTTTGGTGGGGGGGACTCTTTCCATGAAGGATGAGCTTTGAAGCTTGGGCATGCTTTTGGACCCATCGCTATCAATGACATCTCAGATAGTGTCTGTGGTGCGATCCGCTTATTTCCACCTAAAGCAGATAGCCCAGCTGCGTCCTTACCTTGACACTGGGTCCCTCACCATGCTGGTCCATGCACTGGTAGTCTTGAGATTAGACTACTGTAATGCCCTCTATGTGGGGCTACCCTTGGGACTTCTATGGAGACTGCAATGGGTCCAGAGTGCAGAGGCCAGACTTCTAAGTGGGGTTAGAAAATATGAACGTATCTCCCCCACCCTGGCTGCCTTACACTGGCTACCCATTCGCTTCCGTACCAGTTTGAAGGTACACCTTCTTGGCGGTAGCGCCACAATTATGGAACTCTCTAATGCTCAAAGTCTGCCTAGCCCCTTTACTGAGCACATTCAAAAAGCTACTAAAAATCTGAACAAACTACACTCTGATACAACAGTGTCCAATAATATAACTTCTATCATAGTGCCATGCTCAATGATTTTATATTTTTACACTTTTAATTGTATTTATTGTATTATAATTTTATCCTCATTTCACTTTATGATTTTTGATTTTCACCTCTGTGTATTAATGTCGCTATTTGCCATTTTGCTACTCTGTTGTTTTTTGTTATTTGTTGTAAACCGACCAATGTGGCCTTGGCTGCCAGATGGGTGGTATATAAAATAAAAATAAAAATAAATAAATAAGGTGGCCAACACACTTGTTGGAGTACAGTATGGTTAAGCTCTTTAAATTGAGGTGCACACATGACTTTATCTACACGAATGTCCCCTTCTATCCTCAATTTAGGACAAGTCACAGTTCTAGGTTTAAGTCCCTGTGGAAGTATAGTTTCCTGTTTCCAGGTCAGAAAACTATTGCCACTAGGTCTAGAACAGCCAAGGATATTAATGGAACCATGGTTTAATATGCTGATTTGTTCTATCATTAGTGACCATAGTTCTTCATTATAGCTACAAGTGACAATCGGCAAAATCATGTTGCATAGCTGCACTAATATAGAAGGAATTGCATCAGCAGTGGTAGCAGCTTGCCAGTAATTTAAGTATCCAAGCTTTGATTTCAGGTTGTTCATTGTGCACAATGAGATGAAGTCACATGCAACCTGGAATCAAAATTGAGATTCTTTACTTAGTAACAATCTGCTGCTGGTGGTGATGTCATTTTCCTTATACCAGTGTACCTCTGTGGCAGGATCCAGGCAATGGTTTCTGTAAAACAGCCCACCTAATCTCATGCATTTCTGACAAGTGGAGTGAAGCTTCTTCCCCTAACATGGGCAAAGGGCTCACTCATACGTATCTTGGCTTTAATAGCTTCAGATAATCTATACCAGTTCATTGTAGTCAGGACTGATTCTAGTTTGCAGAGCAAGCAGCAATTGAGGTTTGTCCATTTTTATGAAATAAGGTTTTGCTTTAACCAAGATAAGAGGCAGAGAATTGCTATGGGAGAGAGGCAGTATGAAAGTAAATGAGCTTGAGGTCTTGGTTTGCTGTTATATCTCCAATAATTTGAGTAACAGCAACACTTTCCCCTCTAAGTAGTACTATTTTTGTTGCTTTTAGAGCATCAAGCTCCTTGCTGTTGTCAGCAATTTCAACATGCATTCTAGTGCTGAGTGCCAAATGTTTGAGGCTATCAGTTTGACAATACTATCGATCTGTTCAGGGGTTAGGAGGAGTTTATTCAAAGACAGTGTTTGAAGTTGCCAGGGCAGACAGAGTGGAATATATGTTAAACTGTGGCTGTACTTAGATGTGTTAGCCACAGTTTAATGCCATGGGGGACACATCTTGGATGTCCACACCCCCACCCCAAGTACTGCAAGGCATTCAGAAGCCCTTTTGAGCTAACCACGGTTGCTCTCCAAGCTCAAATCAGTAATTGGTGTTAGTTAGGTATGGTTTAAGAAAAAGTATATAGCACTGTAATTTGCATGTCAGTTTGCCGTTGTCTTCTCAGAATGTGCATGAAAGGCTAAACCAGGGTCTACCATAAGATGTGAACAAGGCCAGTGCCTGTGGCGTGCTAGCCTCTCTCCCTGCTTCCTGACTCCACAACCTCTTTTTGGCATTCATAAATCCAAATCTG